TTGGCTAGAGAATATGTATATTTCATTGACATCCTACCTAGAGAAGCAACTTCTAGATAGACTGAAGCCCAGCAGAAACAGGCAACCCCTGCATGCAATTTCACACCACATTCAATCAAGATGACTCAGTTTTCAGCCACTCCACCACTGCTGATCTCTCTTCTCCACAACTTTGCAAAGGCAGATAACCAGATTAAATTGTGTGGAAATTTTCATGACGAAAACAAAATCTTGAGGTCTAACCAAATTAAATCACTAGTTACAAGATAGTACTTAGAAACTACCTACTTTTTGTAAAAAGCCAAAGCATCATACAAAATGTGGTTTTAGTGAAGATGTTATAGTTTCTTATCAACTAATGTATTTGTATTTATAGACTCTAGGATTATTTTTGTATTTTTAAATTGAATATATACCTCTCTTGTATTTTGGGGCTAATTCTACCTTGAATGGAATTTGCAGCCATCCTGTAAATTTTTGAGCATATATGTTCCCATCATTTCTCTTGACTCAACTATTCTATTTAAGGAACTATCTATATATCATGTTTCAGACTTACGCAAATAAACAAAGCAGAGCTGAAATCTCTCTGCTCATTCACACTGATTTTGGAGAGCAAGTAGATGCATTATTCTTTAAAATAAATTCCCTTTTTTAAAATGCTTTGGCTAATCTGCTGTAAATAAAGACCTTGATGGTGACAGGTAAAATATAATCTTTGAAATGGTATCAATATGAATTATAAAGTATTATTCCCTCATAGATAACACAGTTGACATAAGAAACACAAAATAATACTTATATATGCCAATGCCACTACTAATTTGGACTTCCCACATAATTAACCCCACATACATACTTATTACACTAATGAACTCAAGTGCAGACATAGATATATACATACCAAGATTTACCCTGGGGGGCAGTCATTTATCAGGTAACAAGGAAATAAGTTGTTCAAGGAAACATTTCCTGAATCTCCCCAAATCCTGACTGTATATTCTCTTTTAAGAAACTTTTTGTTTTAGAATAGGTTTTCATTTACAGAAAGATTGCAAAGATAAAACAGAGAGTTCTCATATACAACACACACAGATTATTAACATCTTACATTAGCACAGTACATTTGTTATTCATAAATCAATCTGCATATACTGTTATTAGCTAAAATTCATATTTTATCCACATTTCCTTAGTTTTTACTTAATGTCCCTTTTCTATTCCATGATCCCATCCAGGAAACCACATTACATTTAATTGTCATGTCTCCTCTTGGCTGTGACAGTTTCTCAGGCTCCTCTGTTCTTTGATGACCTTGGCAGTATTAAAGAGTACTGGTAAGTTATCTTGTACAACGTCTCTCTGTTGGGATTTTGTCCAATATTTTTCTCACGGTTGGACTAGCGTTATGGATTTGGAAGGAAGACCACAGAGGTAAAGTGCCATTCTCATCATATCATATTGAGAGTATATATTATCAACATGACTTGCAGCTATCGATATTGACCTTGATCACCTGACTGCCATAGTGTTTGTCAGGTTTCTTGACTGTGAAGTTATTTTGTGCCCCTTCTTTCCATTGTGTACTATTTGGAAGAAAGTCACTATGCATATTCCATACCTAAGGAACAGAGAGTTATGCTGACTGTATGGAAATATTCTGCAAAAGGGATTTTTTCCCCCATTTTTAGTGAAACCTTTCACCAACTACAACATAACAGAGTTTCTTTCAGTTTAATTGGGCCAAATTATATCATTTGTCTACCCCAGACCTACAGCCGTTTCTGAAGGGCATATTTTCTATTGTTTGCCTTAAATTAATTCATATCTACCTTTAGAGCAGTGATTCTTTTTTATAATTGTTAATTTTATTTATTTCAATAGATTTTTGGGGAATAGGTGGTGTTTGGTTACATGAGTAAGTTCTTTAGGGGTGATTTCTGAGATTTTGGTGCACCCATCACCTGAGCAGTATACACTGTACCCAGTGTATAGTCTTTTATTCATTGCCATCCACAACTCTTTCCCCCAAGACCCCAAAGTTCAATGTATCATTCTTATGCCTTTGTGCCCTCATAGTTTAGCTCCCACATAATAGTAAGAATGTAAGATATTTGGTTTTCCATTCCTGAGTTACTTCACTTAGAATAATGGTCTCCAATACCATCCAGGTTGCTATGAATATCATTATTTAGTTCCTTATCATGGCTGAGTAGTATTCCATGGCGTGCGCACACACACACACACACCCCATATTTGCTTTATCCACCCATTGACTGATGGGCATTTGGGCTGGGTCCATAGTTTACAAAAGAGATTTTTCTATTTTTCTATTCTTCCCCATTTATTTATGTATTCAACCATGTATTTGTATCAGTATGAATATTGATTTTATAGTTTGGTTTATAATCCAATAGTCTTGATTTCTTTATTTTGTTGCTCAAATTATTTCAGATTTGTTCACTGGGAACTCTTCAGTTGGCTCCTAGGTCCTCTCAAAATACCCCCATGACTATGGGATCTTTGAGGACTTCTTTAATCTCTGGCTGACACCACAAGATGCTTCAGGCTCCATTTTGTGTATTTCCTACCTACTGTTAGAATCAGCCATTTCTCTAAAAACCCTGATTATTTTTATCAAAGAATGGTATTAGAAGCCAAGGTCTGGGTGCCAGATATGTGTGCTCTTAAATGCTCATTACTAGACCTAGACATGAAGAACTTAGAAAATGAGACATTTTGAGGAGATTAAAACTGGTAAAGGGAAAGTAACAGAAAACCCCCAGCACCATTTTTATAGTTTAATGGAAAAACCAGGTAGTTTTTCCCTTTGGGTATTTATTATAATCCAGAAAAAAGTTAGGGTCTTTAATTTCCATGTGATAGAGTCAATGTGTTTGAGAAGGTGGCAAAGGCTAAAAGAGCTCCTTACTTTTTATGTAGTTTGAGGATTTTCTTTTTTTTTGAGGTTTCTATTATTCCAGCACAATTACTGTTTTCATCTCTCAAAAACAGCATATGGATTCTCAGTGTCTCGATAGGAAATTAAAGTCTATATCTAATAATCCGTGATACTGTCCTGACAAAGTCATGAGTCCAAAAATCCAGCTTCAATAGGCCATATGTAGAGTGAACAGATTAAAAGATTGTCCCTGATAATTGAGCTCAACCTTAAAACATCCTCTTCCTTATTTTCCCTCTGATGTCACAGGGAGGAGACAGGTGATGGAGGCAGGAAGCATTTGGTCATCAATGTAATGTAATCAAATACAGAGGTATCAAGCCCTACTCAGCCTGGACCGCCTCCTAGAACCTCCTCCTGGACCTCCTCCTTCATGTCTGGGTCTAGCAATGAGCATTTAAAAACGCATATAGCCTCCTAGGAACCGATGTCATCAGTCCAAGCCATGAGGAGACTGCTTTAGGATAACCAACCATGATAAACATCTGTTCTACTCAAACTTAAATGTCAGTGCTTCCAAAAACTCTTTCCTATATCTTTGAGATCTCAACAAACTCTGGTCCAACAATGAAGAGAGGCAGCTGGAGTTCTGGGGGAGGAAAAGTATTCTCATCCAAACCAGACTGATTATGTAAGGAAATACTTGGAATCTCATGCATACCGGTGATTAGGCTAACACCATTTGCCTTCATTTTCAACTGTGCACCTTCATCTTTAAGCCAACTAACACAAGCTAGAAGTCCACTAATGACCATCAGCAATGAAAGGATCAGGTCTCAGGCAAACTTCCGTACAAATTTTGTCATGTCATAGTGTGATGGCACATAATATTTTACCTTAATGTAGGCAGAGCTGGGAGACTATATAGCAGTATATGTGACAAGGGCAGAAGTTATCAGTCATTAACTGGAATGGGCAAAATGTCCAGGTATAGGAAAAAAAATCAGATGGGCTGGAGTGTAGAAGTTTTGCTTAGGTTCCAGAACTAGTCCAAGAGTACTAGATGAAAGACAAAGGGCCTGAGTTTGAATCCTGATTTTGCCATTCCTTAGTTCCATCAGCATAGGCAATTATTTCATACTTTGGAGTCACTGTTTCATCTACTGGGTACTAAATGGCTGAATTTGTTGAATATCACTAATATGATTCCATAATCTAATATACTTTATTCCCAGGCATGACTGAGAGGCATAGCCTTAAAATAATCCAAATCAACAAGAGCCACAAAGAACACAACCAGACAATTGTATGGTATTAAAAAAGTTCCCTCAAGCGGCTACTGAGTTATGAAGAAGGTGCAGAGACTTGAACCCAGACCTGAAATGAGGAAGAGAAAGGCATGTGGGAGGGATGACAGCTGGCCTCTTCTAAGAAAATGCGTAATAACAGTTATGTCTATTTGGGTGCAGCAGACACTGTGTAGGAGTCTTCACTCCTTCATTTCCTAACACTTATCTCAATGAGCACACTCCTGGAAGTGTCACAGAGGTGGGACATGTTTGTTTACGTTAGGTAGCAATGATGGTAGGTGTGCTGCCCTCCCAAGGGAAGAGAAAAACTAGGGGCCAAAATATAAGAGCCAAGGCCCCACAGTTACTGCTGTGGAGACTTCCGGGTAGAACAGCAAGATTCTAATTCATATTTCTGAAACTGAACTTATTTAATAGAGGAAGCACATTCTACTTAGCCCTTGCAGGGCAGAAAATCAGATCACAGATCACAAAGTCCTTGTTTTTTCCCCAGCAAAGCCTTACTTTTTCCCTTTAAGAGAAAGCGAGGTGCAGAGAGAAGAAACTAAACCAGCCTCTGTTTTCAAAAATGATCTAAAGTTACCAGTTTTTACTAAAGAATTTCTATGTCAAGTGATTTAAAAACTAGAGGAGACCTTTAAAAAAAAAAAGTCCAAATGTTTAAGTGTATGAGAACAGCACTTCCTGCCAGAAAGATTTCCTGTTTCAGGCAACCACAGCGACGTGGAGAAACATCCGCCTTGTGGCTACAGCCTGTGTTCCACAGGCCACTTCTCTCTTCTACTCACCCTTCCTCCCCGACAAAGGTGACATATAGCTTATTTCTCTGCAGGTCTTTTCTGGAATAACCCATAATCTGATTAAAAGCATCTTCTAGTAAGTGATCTCTTCGGATAATTAACCTGTCCATAAAGAGACAATTTGGAAAATACAGATTATTACTATACTATTACAGATAATTTACTTATCTTTCTAGAACTTGGCACTTGCCATTTAATTTTTATTTGCCACAATTAACTAGGCAAGAAGAATGTTACCTAATATCATTGCTATCTGCAATAAAAAGTACACATTTGTCTTTAACTCTTAATAGCATTAGCAAAAGTTACATGAGAGAATCATTAGTAAATAGAGCACCCTACCCATGACCCATGAAAACAACTGGAGAATCCTGTCTAAATGGTCAAATCAGTTTATTCTCCCCCCCAAAAAAATGATCATAAAACACACACACACACACACACACATTTTGTTTAGTAAAGCAAGAACAACTCTATGAGGCAATGTTTTAAGCCTCAATGCACTTAGACAAAGAATTCAATTATTAAGTGCCCAGAGAGATGACTGTGAGAAACAAGAAGAAAAAAAAATTCTTAATGTCCTCCAAAGCAAGAGTTTTCAATTGTTAATTGTTAAATTAAGTGAATCTTTACAGTCTCTAAGGGACAGACAATGAACGATGTATGTGGCAGGTTAATCTACTTGTGATGATGACAATTAAAGTCATCCTTCCATAGATATCAATTTGCTCTTAATGTAAATGGTAATGGACAGAGGGATGATAGGGCGGCTGAATGCATGACAGTTGGATCATCCTAGACCTTTGTAAGTGTGAAAAAAGTAAAGCTCAGAGAAGTATGGTGTTTGGGCAGGCTGATGATTTTTTAGGGCAATGAAGGTGGAATCTAATCAAGCAAGGCTTCCTGTGGGTGCGACAGCGAGCCGTGGGGCTGTTGTTGGTCTGGTCTCTGGACCCTTTCTCAGGCACTCAAGGTCATGGGGGTGCTCCAGTGTAGACCCTGCCTCCTCTATCCTCTCTCAGTGGCAGAGCAATCTCCAGTGGGGACATGGGACAGCAGTGAAGGCAGGGAGGAGAGAAAGAAGGGTAAGTAGGGAATGGAAACAATTCTAGGCCAAACATCCCCATTTGAAGTGGGGAGGTGGATGAAGAAAGGCAGAAACAACACTCATGACATGTGCTGTTGTGAAGTTTGTTTCACAGAACTGAGCAGAGCTGGGCACTATTCCTATTCCTACACTCAGTTCAGGAGACAGAAACTTGCGGTGGAGGACACTGGAACACCTTTATAGCTAATGAATATACTATGTACCAAAAAAGAGGTACTTTTCAGAGAGAAAAAAAACAGCCTTTTATTTTGCCTTTATTTTTACATGAAAAGTGGCAGTGTCTTCTACTTGTTTTAAAATGTTAAGCTTAATCATGCTTAATTCCAGGACTATGTTTTAGATGATCTATAATTAACAAATGCCAAAATAATTATGCCAACTAAAATGAAGGCTAATCATCCCAAATCACAATCAATTTCCTAGAGGCTCAACTGCATCCCATCCTTTCACCATCTATAAATTATGTGGTTTGTGTCACTTTGACTTACTTTAACTTCCCTGGGCCTTGTCCATATCCTTTAGTCTCTAACTTCCTGTAAAAATTCCTCAGTTTGGCTTCAAAATCCCGTTTGTAAGGGGCTGGGGCCCGGGCATTGGCACGCTGGGTACCTGCAGCAAACCACAAAGAGAGGACAATCTGGATTTGTGCATCATTCTTATGTTTATCACATCACCATGGACAAAAGCTATCACAATTAACAAGTCAAAGGAGGCAACGGTCTTAACTTCTGCATTTTTGATTTCTGCAAGTTGAAGGATATAACAAACCTCAACCAGATCTTAAGTGATGTCTTCTTTGTAGCATTTGGTTGAGAATTAAAATCCTGTTTGAATAGTTACAATGGTGCCCATGTGTTTCTCAAGAATGTTCCCCTTTTCAATCCAAATTAATATGAGTCAAAAAGAGTTACTCATGTCTAGCAGTAACTGTTAGGATGAAATATCTTTGCTTGCTGCTGAAATGATATCATGGCAATTAGACAGGAAGTTGCAGTGGAAAAGTATGTGGTCTATAAGTCAGTGGCACAAAGAGTGAGTTTTTAATAATTACTCTAAATTCCTCACCAAAAAACTCTTCACAAAACTCTTTTTTTTTTTTTTTTTTTTTTTTTTGAGATGGATTCTCACTCTGTGGCCCAGGCCGGAGAACAGTGGCATGATCTCAGCTCACTGCAACCTCTGCCTCCCAGGTTCAAGCGATTCTCCTGTCTCAGTCTCCCAAGTAGCTGGGATTACAGGTACCCACCCCCACATCTGGCTAATTTTTGTAGTTTTAGTAGAGACAGAGTTTTACCATGTTGGCCAGGCTGGTCCCAACCCCTGACCTTAGGGGATCCGCCCGCCTTGGCCTCCCAGAGTGCTGGGATTACAGGCATGAGCCACTGCACCTGGCCTACAAAACTTATTTTAGATATGCACTATCACCAAGAATGATTTCAGATACATAATTACATAAATCTCGTATTGCAGGGTAAAATAATCTTAATATAAGACATAATTGCAAAAGGCATCTGTCTCCTGGTTGCACAAAGAATAAATACTACTAATATTTATTGCATTCTTAACATGTGCCAAGTACTGAGAATATCTAGGTTATATAAGGATATTTTATACATTATTCAATGGCAAATATCACTAATAAAATGTAAAAGTAACACTGTTCCTCTTTCCATAGAAAAATCTGGCTTTGTGTCACCGGGTGACTAAGCAACAGGATGGGATATAAAATTGATGATGACTATGAAAATCAGACACAGAGCCATGACAAAAACCCAACCAATGAAAGAAACCAGAAAACAAAAACTGGGAGGTCTTGTTCATGACATACCATGTAAGTTCATTAAAAATTTCTTTAACAAATGAGTAAACAAAATGGTTCTTATTCATTGCTAATACTGTGTTAGGTTCAGCAACAGATGCCCAAAATGAATAAGGTGGGGTTGCTGGAGTGGGGGATGGGGAAACAGAAATAAAACGTCAAACAATTAGAGAATAAGTTCTGAACTAGATGGTATACAGACTAGAAAGCAGAGGGAACAAAATGATATCCCTGGGGCTATTCCTAGTCCTACAGATCCCTGTTGTTTGCTCCATAATCTTTTTTGAAGATTTTAAATTAATTGCCAACATCTACAAATTAAATTTCAAGTTAAAAAATTCCAGATTTTTCCCTTGAAAATTATTTGGGAAATCTTGCAACGACTGGCTTGCATTTCCTTGGGGATCCAGCGGGCAGCTGCAGCTACCCTGTTAGACGAGGCATGTGCTCACCACTCTGCCACAGCCACTCAATGACACTGGCTGCCTGCCCCCCAACCCCCACAGGCATTTGTTAAGATCAGTGTTATACGAAAGTAATAGTAATATAATAAAAAAGACATGAGTATAAGTAGAGATCAAAGTGGAAAAGGCCTTAGGGAGGAAGCTTAATTGGAACCACACCTTGCAAAGGAAGGAGAATTTATATTCTATTCTGGAACAGAGCAGCAAGAGCTGGCATAAACACTGCATGTGTGTTCAGAAGATGCCGAGGCGACCAAGCTAGCCTAGAGTGGAGGAGGAATGCTGGGAGTAAATGGGAAATGAAATTGATCAGAAGGGTTGGAGCAAAATTATGAAAAGAATTTTTAAAACCTAGCAGAGGAGTTTGGCAGGATGCAATGAATGGTGTGAAGCCTTTATAGATTCTTGAGCAAGGGAATAACATACAAGTGGTGTTTTATTCAAGAAATTATTTTCAGAGTGTGTTAAGTAAATTAAGGGTGGGCAAGAGGAGAGCCCCAGTTAGAAGTTGTTGCAGTAACTGAAGCCCGAGGGGATACGGACTAGACTGGAGTGAGTGACTTAGAGAAACATCTGCAATGTGAAATAAGCACTGGGAAGAGTAGATAAACAAGGAAGAAGATGGAAGCATGATGTTAATACAAAGTTTCTTTAAACAATAACAACAGGTCTCATTTGTTAAGTGCCTGCTGTACATTACAGACGATGCACAGATGCACATTACAGAGGGCATCTGGAGAAATCCTCACAAGTCTACAAAGAGGGTATTACTAGGACCATCATTACCACTTTGCAGCAAAGGAAAAATGAAGGTGCAGCTTCCTGTCCAAGTCATATTCCAGTGACAGTAGATTTGGGATTGGGGCACAAATGCTATGAACAGTGTGGGAAGTGATGCAGGTAGACAGGGGCATGTGAAGCTTTATACATGTTGACTTGGAGATGACAACTGACCAAGTGCCCTAGAGACTGGAAAATATGGGACTGGAGTTGAGATGAGAGATCAGGGCCACATGTTAGTGTGTATATGGCACTTTATGCAGTGCGTGTTGTATAAGAGATCCCACATAAGTGTCCGCTGTTGTTATCTGCGTAGAGGTGAATACTAAAGACAGGGGGAAATGAGTTGAGATTTCAGTAATGAATTTGTACAAAACTAGCTATTGACCAGTAATCTGTCTGGAGATTTCTGTAGAGTCAGGCAAAGGGCTGAGTTATGTCACAAAGCAAGCAAATAAACTTGACTTTAAAGATCTGGGAAGCAGAAAGGACTCCTAGGCAGGGGTTCTCAATCTTGACTGCACATTAGAATCACTTAGGAAGCTTTTAAAAATTCCAATGTTCGGGCCACACCCAAGATGCATTACATCAGAATGTGTAAAGACACAGAATGTAGGGTGGGACCCAGGCATGAGTGTTTAATATGGCCCTCCAGATGATTCCAATGTGCAGCTATGGTTAAGAACCACTATTCCTTTACAGAAAGGTCAAATGTCACCAATGAAACACATGGGCAGCATCCAGGGACTAACACAGGGCAAATGTTTCCTGTGTATCCAAAAGCCATCGTTTACAACATGAAGCAACATTATCTCCATAAACACAAGACTGCTCCCATACATGGATGAGGTCTAGGACAGTGTAGTTCAAGTCCACTCAGGGGTGGCACAATCAAGGTGTCAGTGCTCCAGTCTGAGAAACTTCAGACTAGAAAACCCAGACAGTGAAGAATGCAGCGTAACGAATCAACTTTCAAGAGCCCAATCATTGATAAGAAAGAGAAAAATGAAGAATGAAGAACTGAATGAAAATCTTTTAAGATGCAAAAGAAACATGGTTTTTAAAGAGCTGATTACTTTTAAAAAACAGCACACACAGTAACTACATCTATATAATTTGAGATGCTTAAAAGGATGTGGGAAATTCCATAATGCATTCCATCAACATCAATACAGACACAATAAAAATTAGCTCTGACTGTTTATCCTCTAAGTAAAGGGATTTAATTTTAAAAACTCTGACACAGCAACTGTTAAATGCAAAAATTCTTTTGCTCATAGTGCCACTATGAAAAAAGTCATTTACACATTATTTCATTTTAAAATTACAGTAAATTATGCTGTTGACCTTTGTCAAATTCTTAATACAAGTGACGTATAATTGCCAAGAAATTCCAGAGCAGGAATGATGTTACTTCCACTTTGGAAATACAAAATGTTCTTGGAAGATTGAGCTAATAGAATTGTATGGGAACTACAACTATAAGTGAAGTTCCAGATTATAATACTTTACAGACAGAGTAATTTTATGGTCTTTACAGTCTTAAAAAAGAAAATCAGATACAAAAGATCAATGTTACATCTAGAAAGTGATCAAATGAAGGGCTGACTTCATGAATAGTCAGCATTTTGCTAATTCTTTGCAGGAAAAAATTTTAGTAATAGATACTAGGGACTTTTTGCTTTGTCATTGCTAGGCAGCCCTAAAGAATTTCTATACTGTGTTATCCTATTTTCATATACTGTTACAAAATTACATAATCATATACAAACTAAAGAATTCTATCTGACAAAGTATTTCAGAAGACACTAGAAGTAGGTTGGCATCCAACTCCCGGGCAGTCTCAGTCTTTTTTGATTCTGGGTGTGTGACCCAGAACCCGGATTGCTCTGATGACTAACACTGGTTCTCCATATTGGACAGGGGCTGGAGCTTGATCCAGCATGGCTCCATGCCTCTCCTGGAATAGCTCAGAAGCTCCAGCTGTTCAAAAAGTGAACCTCTTTCCTGGTTCATTGTCAAAAGATCCCTATGACATTTAAAACAAATGCCCTATGAGTGAATGAAAACAAAACATCAAGCACTACAATAATTTCTGGAAGGCTCCTTCTTCTGGAACATAGCTCAACACTAGAACTTAAGAAAAACACGTCCAAATTGCTGGCACAAAGCACAACCACTGAAGACTTGACATTTTTGCTTTATTCTCTCAGTAGTAAAAGGCCCTCGAGTCATTTCTTTGAGCTTGCTGATGCTCATGTACATACCATTTATTGAGAACAACTTAATGCTCTGACTTCTCAAAGCTTGACAGAGGTCTTGGCAGGGAAGCAATTTATTAAAAAGAGAAAGGTGAAGGGTCTGCCAATAGCAGGCACTCTTTGAGAGCTCTATGGGTGAGGACAAGAGAGACTAACAACAAAAACAACAACAAAAAGTTAAGTCTCTATACTGTGATGGAGACAGTGTCTGGGGCTTTCTTTTGGTCTCTGGAATCACAACTTCCCCATCCCTGCCCACCCAGGGAGCATCCTTCACCTGTGCAA